GTCGTAGATACGATGCGCAGCATTGTCAAAAGCTCCATGTATACACGTTTTCTGTATGTTTCTGTTTCCCTGTTCCTCTGTCGGCATGCATTTTTTCATCAGCTTCGCAATCTTGCAGCTTGTCTAAATCAACTGTTTGCCTCTCTGATTGTCTCCATTTCTGCATTATTCACTCGGTCAGTCTGTGTTTATATTTTTGACTATCTAGCTGTTTTCTGTAATTTTTTTTGTCGATTGATACATCTCTCTGTTTACCTATCGGTTTATTTATTCATCGATCTGTATCTCTATTTATTAGTCTCTCTATCCATTTATCTCTTATCTTTCATTGTTTCAGTCATCTGTTTTTCTCGGTTCTTCCATCTTTTGTCTGCCTCCCTGTCTGACTACTTGTAAACATATCTGTGCACATACCGCTTCGTTTGATCATATATCCTTCCGTATGACAATTCATCTGTTCATCGAACTTTCTATGTATTTATGATTCAGTGACTTAGCCTGCTATTTTTAATTGGTGTGTATCAATTGGTTGCCGATGCTTAGCCCTGCAAACGACCTAGAGGGAGATCTCACAAGTTGCAGCAATCGTTCAGTACGAATCATACATGAATGAAATAAATATTTGTATAGTATAAAATACGGTAAATAGCATTCATAAAACATTAAATGCCTGACAGGAAAGCGTAAAATTTACGAGAACTAATCATGCGAAACGAACGGTGTTGATTAGTTGTACTGATTGTCACGTGTGTTTTAACCGATTGCATCAAATTATAATTGAATACGATTACGTCTAAACGGGACTGATTTGAGACCGATTTTGAATTGTGTTTAGGCAGAGCTTGAAGGTTTTTCCATCGAAAAATAATCGTTTTATGATTTCGTGACGACCATATTGGAATAACATTGCATGCGTTCCTTTTAATGATTTAATTTTATGTTATGCTTTAGGTATGTAATGTTTTAGGCAGGTACCGTACCGAGAATTTCTTTTAGACCATTTATTTTTTTCTGTTAATCGTGTTACTTATTTTCGCATTAAAGCGCAAGTGATCAGCCAGCAGAATTTCATTTTTTTGTTATATGATGCTTATTTGGGTGGCTAAAGGAGGTCTAGTTTTAAATGAGCATTATTTGATAGTGATCTTCGCCGCGTTTCACGATAAACGACTGTCATCTGCAACTTCGAAACAGCCTTATGAACCTTAGGCTGTGAGACAAATTAATTATGCCACTATTCTCCTCATGTGTAGAGGTTTCATAGTTGTCACTGGCATGCTTACAGCGGCGTTTGGGTAGTTACGATTTATGGTTAAATTCAGTCAGTCTGTTATGAATTCGTCATAGTTCGTCCTGCCGTTGCTTATTATAAGCGACTAAGTATGTTCATCTATTAATATTTGGTAAACGTGGCATTAAGCCGCTTCACTTCTCTGAACCCCTTGGGTTGGCGTACCGAATATACCGCGTAACAATTATTTGCCATAAAACGTTCAAAGAAAGTGTGCAACAAAGAAAATAGCAGAGTCGAAAGAACAACGCGCATATCTCGTTTAAACACACGACGACGACGACTGGTTCCGATAGTGAAATTACTTGGCCAGCAGTCGACGTACACAACAGAAAACATTCGAAATTGGAGGAGCATAGAGTTGCGTTAATGGTGCCGCAAAACGAAGGCAAAATCGGGCGAATGACCATTAAACAATGCCTCACTCTGTCAACCACAGGGTATGGGCTTAGGTGAAAGTTTATTTAGTGGTTGTTGAATTTTCGGTAGAACATGGTAGACTGTTGACAATAATTTCGCCATTAAAACCTGATTTCAAGTTAAGTTAGAGAGGAGTTAAAATGAGGTCAGAACGGAAAGCGTTCATAACCTGTTGCTGCAAGTGAAATTTGTTTCCCTCCTACCCACAGACATTATTAATACAGAAACATACGTTTCACACAAACAAAGGTTCACTCAAGAAATTAAACATTAGCCATAGCATAAACTTAGTTTTTAGAATGTCAGATTTTCGTCTGAAAATAACAAGTTGGAGTTCCTGTCGTCGAATCATCCCAGTTAAGTATTTTCAGTTGGAAAAGTGAATTATTTTATGGAAAGCCAACGAACTTATGTGTTATAGTGATATTAGCTAAAGATAAATTCTTTAAAAGATAAAGCTGACGAAACCATGATATCCGTGGAAAAGGGAACCTAGGATTTTGTTAGTTACCGAGTCTCTGACGGTTTCTTTTCTCGAAAGTTAGCGAATTTCAAGAATTCTTGTTCTCTGGCAGATCTCGTTTGTGGCAGAAAGCCAAGATCTCGAGAGATAAGTTGTGGATAAGCTGTTTAACATGACATATTGTGCAAGAAAGGAGATCATACTGTTCTTGTGCTTAGTGCTAATCGAACCTGTCGTATACATCGTTCCACGAAGAGGTTGATGCGGCAGCGGTCCGTTGCTTTTCGTTTGATATCCCTTTTTTATTGTATTTTTCTTGTGTTTCTGTAATGCGAATGCTGGTCATTCGCCAAACAAAAGGAGCTGACGCATATCAGCGATAAGCTTGGCCTGTTACTGAGAAACTTATTAATTGGTTTAAGGTCATACAAGGAAAGAGTAACGCTTTATAGTTCTTTGGAATTTATGTGGAATTTTGAAAGAGCTTACGGTGCAGCACAGATAGCATCTCCTTTTCTGCACCTGAAATGGGAATGCGCTGTTTTGAAGGCACTGTTATGAAGATGGTATGTAGCATCCAGTTACATTTTCTGCAAAGTGAGACCCGTTTATTTACCTCTGAAGGATGTTAGATGAGGAACCCGACCGGGACTTGAAATCACATTCGACTGATGGTGTCTTAATCAGTTATACTATATGTATTGAATAAACAATATCACATGTAGTGCTACTTTATGCAACTAATGTATTACCTCAAACAAATTTTATTGCCTGGAGGAATCACAAAGCTAAGGCAACAACTACGAGAACTTTCCGCCTCAGCTCCGAAGCCAGATCTCACCTCAGTCTTGAAACTATGTTTATTGACCATGTCTCATCTTATTAGTCGATATACTCTGTTTTGAGGATGAATGACATGGTATGAATGATATAGTGATGTCATCACGCTTCCATCAATAAATCATGTTGACGGCGTCTGCAGTTCCTTGTATTTGTCTGCTGAGCAAAACTGCCGTAAAGGAAGTGAGAAGTTCCGTCAACGCAGTCTAACATTACCTGTTTTACCGTTCGTTTCGGTTGTTGTGACAGCGGCTAAGGAGTAATAATTCTTTTACGTTTTGTCACACGCTGTCGCATGCTGATTTCTTTGTTCGTCAGTCATCAGAAGCCTAAGTTACTGGGTAAATGCATTGATATGAGTGGAAGGATTGGATGAAAACGGACTTCCGACAACATTGAACTCGTCGTTTGGTGGGGTACTGGTGAGCGTGGAAAGACTAGCAGTACATGTGCGTCACAATCCATGTAAACGTATTAGACAAAGTGAAATTCGCAGTAGTGATCTTGGTGCTATTGATTCAATGGCTGTGTTCTCATTATCGACAACAGTTGGCTATACTATCTCTTTAGAGCCTGCCGCGGGAGAATTTTAAAATGTCTCACCCTTAAAGGAAGTATTTGACTTTTCAGAATTCTGCCTAGTACTTGCAGCAGTTTCATTCATTTCCCTACGTAGGATCCCTTTTATGTGTTTGTGTCATTAAAGAGCTGGTTTAGTGAGTCTGCATCAAACTCCGTAAACTCAGTTTTTTATTAATGCGACCCCGGCATTTTTTTTGAACATTTCACCTAATAAATGTATTTCAAATTATAATAGGCACACTTTTATCGTCATATACGTAAAAAGGGGAGCATAATTGATACATTGGAACTGGCGACTGGTTTTCCACAACAAATGGGAATGAGTGTTATGAGAAAGCGAAGGTGATTCGCAGTGCAATGCGGTTAAGTATTGAAAATCGATCACTTAATTAGCGAATATAGATTTATAGTGAAAAGCTTATGTTGTTGGTAGATGTTTGTTACACTGGGGCCTTCAGATACAGTGGCACCGGACACTAAATAGTAGGCAGACCAAAATGGCTTCATTCAGTTACCAATATTTCGGATGTCATCAGAAAATACATTGAGCAGAAGTAACAAACCGGCATTACAAGACAAGTTGTTCAGCTTAAAAAATGGTATTTAAAGCAAAAGTATTACATTAGAGCAGCATAAATCAACTAGCTATGTATCTCCGTATGTACACTTTCATAGTCGCATCGTTCCGAGGTTTTCTAATCACTGTAGATATTATTGATTAAAGCAGAAAATGATGATGAGAAAAATCAACTTCATGCAATAGAAATGTCAAATGAACTGATACAGCCGTTTTGTGTTTGTTTTTTTATGCAGTGATTTATTACGTAATCACGGTTCGATTGCCATTTCAACTGATGATGAATAGCTCAATCGCATTCAGGCAGTGGTTACTGTTCTTACAGGTGAAGTCATGGTTGACAGTTCTACAAATGCGGCCGTCGTTGTTCGCGACGGTTTTGGAAATGACCATCCGTCCTATAGGTTAAGTCTAGAAGATGAATACAACACGTCGCTGAAATGTAGATGTACATAATAAATTTACATCGTATGCAACGTCATGCATTAGAGGACTTTTCTAGTATTAAACTGAATTCTCCAAAGGGAAGACAATTTTCGTTTAGAAATCACAATTGTGAATTGTACCAAAGTTTTGAACCGATAACATTAGTTTTCTGCATTCCTTTGTATTGGCAAAGTACCGAATTTTTAATTTCTGTACATGTTTATTTTAAAATCGTGAAAATGACCGTGAAGGAAATCGCCGTGGTATATTTCGAAGGTGTAATAGTGACTGATGGGTGAATGGCGGTCGAGATTCTTTTTAATTATACGATATTGCGTTTATGTGCCCAAGGGGCAGACTTAGTAGTCTTACGTCGTGATGCAAGAGTTTTTTATGTTTCAATGTTTTTCAGGGGGAATTCAATGTCACAGTATCACACAACATCGACCCCCACATGTGGATACCTTGCTGGAAGGGGTAATCCAGCTCAGCCACAGTTCAGTTATATCTGCCTTCCAAATACCGTTCCGCCGTCTCATTTGCTGCCTAATTCGACCAGCAATCTAATGTATTCGACGACACAGGCGAACGGCATGTTCAACGCTCAGTCGATCATACCTGGTGAGTACGGTTCCCATCTGCAAACAGTTGAAAAAGTTATCAACTTGAAATGTCGTTGAATTGATTTGGAATCGTTGCAGGGTTAAATACAGTCTGTGCACCGTCATACAGTGGTGCTCCGAACTGCTACATGAATCCGGCAGCTGCTGCCGCTCCAAACTACGCCTACCAGTTGCCCGGCTACCCTTACGCTAATTGTAGTTTAGCATTTGGCATATGTATTAACGGTAAGTAACGTAAATAATTTGTAGATATTTATCTGCCAACGCAAGGCGTTGGTCTGAACCAGCCTTCGTCAAGGCCACGCAACAAGTTGGCCGTCGTTGATCCGATAACGAAGAAGAATGTCCTCGACGAGATGAACGAGGCGACGGTGGTTGCAGGGTCAGCCGGCACCGACACCAACGAGGAAACGTCAAATGCCCAGCTGCAGACCGGCGAAGCTGTGGCCGCTACCAGTGCCATCGATGCGGCGATTGCCGCCGTCGACAGCTTCAAGAGAGGTATTTCCGGCCTCGGCGACGAGTCAGCGTTGGACACCATTTCGCGAAATATCCCCGTCGCTTCCGTGGACGAGATACATGAAGATCTGCAGGTATGATTCATAGGTTCAACGAGTATTGGTAAAATTTAGTTGATTAGGGTGCATATATAATTATATATAATTGTTCGAAGTGGTAATCCGACTATACCCTCATGAACATGCATGGTAACAGAAACCAGTCTCTGGCTATGACTTTGAGAAAGTAAAAGTTAGGAAATCAGAAACAGAGTTTGCCGTAATTTGCACACATTAGACTGTCTGAGAGCTTCCGATTGACAGAAAAGCACTCAATATTTTTGCCACATGTTCCAATACTATGCAGTAATCATAAAAGTAAGAACTATTCTTTTTATCTTTTAACTCTTGATACTGCATTTGCACGTCGATAGCTGTTAAGTTACTGCTTACTTTAAAGTTCTCCTGAGGTGCTGTAAGATGTAAGATAGTAATCATTGCACAAAGTGATATTGCAACAAGACACCATCCCTATGCTTCTAGTAGTTCCGGGAATCAGAACTTCTTTTTATGTAATTATTAAACGGTAACTTTAAAGCTTATCTGCATGTACAGTATGATGTTAGTAGTATCATTAAATGAACAGTAAAGACAGAATAGTTGTAAGCCAAAGTTGAGAAAATTGCACGCGATTTTTTGTGCACTAAAAAGAGGACTATCGTTTAATGGTTCTAGTGGTCGGGCTCTAATGATTACTTTTGTCTCTCTATGAGTTCTACAGCTGTTATGAGTGTGTACTTCACTTTTATCGACAGCAGAGTCTACCGCATATCTAAAAATTCCACGATATTTCCACACGAAAATGAAAACGAAATAAGCACTTCTGGCCAAGCATAAATTGGATGATTTAATTTTCCATTTCGTTTATGCAAAAACTTGTAAAATCGAGTAGTATGCTTTGAAAATTATTTCTTTTTCTTAAAGTATGACAAATTCATCGTCTCTTTCGGTGTTATTTAGTTTCGGAATGTTATGCAACAGCATATTTCGTGGTAAAAAACCATTTTAGCGTTCGTTAAATTAAACACACTCAAATGCACAATAACGTTGCACAAAAGATTATATTATTAATTAAACATCTGT